GGCCTTAACCATTAGAATAGGGTTTGGGGGTATATCATACTATAGCTATAAGAAGGAACCCCCCAGAAAAGTATAGGTATTTCTTGAGGCCCCTACATTAGGCCTTCTTCGGCTCAGGATTTATAAGGGTTTAGGGAGAGAAGAACCGTAAACGCTAAACCCTAAAGCCTAAATAGAGCCTGCAGATTAGCCAGAACGCTTGCAATGCTTAAGGTCGCGAGCTCTTGGCCATCCTAGGGCAGTTCGAGCTCGAAATACGAAGCAACAGGCACTTGGACGCCGGTGTCCGACCAAGAGCCATCGCAATCCAACGCAGCGAGCGGACAAGAAAGTGGAAAGACTGCAACAGAAACCTCAATCCTGTCAACACCCCTATTTATCCTTAACTCCAAATCTCAAACCCCAAATCCTAAACCCTACACACAAATGCCTCCATCACCGGTTTAGTGCCCGAGCCCAGTTCGCTGCTCAGCTTCTTCGCTGCAGCCTCTGATGGGACTGTGCTTCGAAAATCGACGGAGCTTGACGTGGGGTTTGGGGTTTAAGAAGTTTAGGGTGTGTTCACATCAAGATACATACACACACAGAGTGTTTTGTACATATATACAATATATATATATATATACCTATATATATATATGTGCATATTGGTTTATATACAGGTAGACAGACAGATAGCTAGTTAGATAGATAGACAGATGGATAGATAGGTAAACAAATGAGGAGCTAGACGGATAGATAGATAGATAGATAGATAGATAGATGGATAGATAGATAGATAGATAGGTAGATAGATAGATGGATAAGTGGATAGGAAGATAGACAGATAGATAGATAGTAGATGGATAGATGGATAGATGGATAGATGGATAGATGGATAGACAGATAGATAGATAGATAGATAGATAGATAGATAGGTAGTTAGATAGATAGCTAGATAGATAGGCAGATGTTCAGGTAGATAGATAGATATATGGATAGATAGGTAGATAGGTAGATAGACAGAAAGAAGGATAGATAGATGGATCATCGGAAAGATAGATAGTTAGATAGATAGATAGACAGATAGACAGATAGACAGATAGACAGATAGATAGATAGATAGATAGATAGGTATGGTTGTATATGTATAGATCAAGTTTGGGACTTCAATGTCCGGGTTGGGGCCTCAGGGATTAAGACGCAGGGTCTATGGGGATTGAAAAATTAACTATGTAGGTCCTTTCGCTTTTTGTGCTGTTCGTCAATCAGGCTCCAACATTAGCCTGGCTCTCTCAACATGCTGGCACCCTCAACCCTGAACCTATATAAAAAAAAACAGGTGCTTGACGTATGCGCGGCACATCCAAACCGGTGATAAGAAACAGTGGTTTCTTGAACAGGCTCCCACATTTCCCTAGATCAAAAGCCATAAAGACCTTGCAACATATCGTATAAACCTCCTACAGCATCCTGTGAACCCCATGTAAAATCCTATAAGCACTTCACAACATCCCGCAAAACCCTTCTAAGGCCCTACAGAACCCAATTCAACCTTACCACAGACTGGCTCGGAGCTTCTCTAAGCTTCTAGTTTCCGGGATTGCCTGGATCACCTCGCGGTGGGCATAGGTGACCTGAGAGGCAGTCCGACCAGTTTCAGGTTTCAGGTCCTTTGACAAGATGTGCTTTGAACCTAGAATAGGGTCTCCATGGCAGTACGACCAGCTTCAGGGTGAGGCGTTTAGGTCCTTTGAGATGTCCTTTCAAGGACGGTCTCCATTAAGGGATACTACAGGTTCTAGAATCGGGTCTCCATTAAGGGGTATTATAGGGTTCTAGAATGTGGGCCCCCCCTTAAGAGGTCTTTCAAGGTGTCCTTTAAGGTGCTTTTTTTGTTTATCGAGTTTGGGCTTCAGCTTTCGGGTTTCGGGCTTAAGCTTGAGGGTTTAGAGAGCTTCATGCGAGAATCTGCGGAGTTGAAGCGACAGGGCTGCAACACGCACTGATGTCCTGGCATACTTTTTGCCTCAAACTAAGCTGCTAAGTAAACCCTACACCCTCAACTCCCACACCCTCGAACCCAACGGCTCTAAGGCCTACAGCCTAGAATCCTAAATCCTCTCAGCCCCCAAATCTCACGAGGAGTCAGCACTGAGGGGCTGACAGGTCGGAAGCGCGACCTGCAAAACCAACACACGAAGGTCGAAGCTGAGAAAGAACCCATGAACCGTGAGCATCGTTGGAGCTGATCTCATGGCTGTTAAACATGGGCATTGCCCATGATGTCTTCCTGAAAGAGTTGTGATATCGCGAAGACTGTGGATGCTAGGAACCTATTTCCCACTCTCCTGCACGAAGCTTCAGCAATAGAGCTGTAGCAAAATTTAGCTTTAATACAACTGATATATATATATATACATATATATATATATATACCTACAATAGAACTATGATAAAACAAAAGGCTTCCGGACTCCTCAAGGATGCGAATTCGAGCTGGGTCCCAAGGCTTCTCTTCTCGGGAATTTCATTCACCTCAGACACTCAAACCTAAAACCCTCGGCCGTAACCCTAACCTAAGTCCCAACGAAGGGAATGAGTGAAGAGCAAGCAGACTTTTCGTGCTTCACACTGCATATCACTGTATGGAAAAAGTTCCGATTGGAGGGTGCCTTCCGCCATCCGAAACACGAGAACCCGTACCCCAAACATCCTCAAAATCTAGTTGAGCCGGTTGGCGAGAAGCCGTACCTCCAAGGCTCCAAAGGTGTTGCAAAAGTCCAAAGCACAAAGAAAGTTCCCTTTAAACCAATATCGGAAAACTCTTCCTCATGAATTCTGCAGCCTCTGCACAACGATCGGACGCTTGTAGAAGGCATTGTTGGGCACGGCCTGCACGTACCTTCTTTCGGGTTGAGAGATTGGGTTGTCAAAAGGCAAGAACACGCACAAGGCTCGGCAGCACCATGGTAAATTCGTGCCCAGGTAAGACAGGCGCTGTAGTAGTTCGAATGTGGCTGTGCTATAGTCATAGTGTCATTACAATAAGGAGCCCTACAGAATAACACTGGTAACTCCTACTATCAGGACAAGAAGGATGGAAAGGCGGCATGTCGTGTCGCAAGCTGACTTGTTAATTCGGGGCCTCTGCTTCGCCTCGTCAAAGAGAAGGAGCACAGACGCTGCCACCTTGAACTCCACCTTCAGTAAGGAGTTAGTCTGCGATGATTTCGTGGTTCTTCGGTGCTCATGGAAGAGGCTGATGGCATCGTGTTTCTTGTTAATAACAAACAAACAAACAAACAAACGAACGTACATAGTTAAATACCTACTTATGTGCGTGCATACAGACTGTAATCACATGGATACACCTATGCATGCATACCATGCATACCCACCTACCTGCATACCCAGCCACTCACCTACTTTAAGACTTGCCTACTTAACCACCCGCCCACTACCTACCTACCTACCTACCTACCTACCTACCTTCCTACCTACAGACCAACCTACCTACCTACCTACCTA